GAAATTAATACATGAATAATTAATTAACTCTTTCTCCTTTCAGGACATTTGGTTTTTTTCCTCCATTCACACAGAACGTTCACGCAGGACAGGACAAATGGCTAGTACTAGTTTACTCTCTCTGTGGTTGCCTGTAGGTATTTTAATCCTGTCCCAACCCCAACCCAAGTGCAAATAGCAAAAAACATGATAGATTAATTGTTCTGCCCAAATTGACTCTAGTTTATGCTCGTTCGGTGGCATGGACTAATGTATAGTTCCTGTTAACATTTATGAAATATATTGGCACTGATAAAAATAAATATATAAATACATAGAATCAATATATAAGTAAAAATAATATGCATTTTTCATGATTTTTCAATGAGGCTGCAATGCATACACCTTAAAATGTAGTCATTTAACACACAGAATGGTGCTGCAGTTAACACTATAGGGCAGGGGTAGGCAACCTACAAATCCAACCATGCCTCTTCCTCTGGGAGCTATGCCTATGGTTGTCATGAGACATTTCAAAGCTCTGACAACCATAGGAATGACTCCCAGAGGCAGGCGTATGATGGAATTTGTAGTTTGAGCACAGCTGGGGTTCCAGTGTTGCCTGCCCCTTCTATAGGGGTTATTTTTTTATGGAATATTTTCACTCATAAAGCCAGAAAAGCACAAATGTAATTTCCCCATTGTCCACTAGGTTGTAAAACAAAGAAATCCTTCATAACCCACGTCCCCAGTTCTATACCGCTTATTAGTTTTACATAGGCCACATTACTATGGTGGGTGGTTTAGGTGTCTCGCATACTAATATACTATTAATATTCTTTTATATCTTTTTTTATATGCTGTATTACTGTTACGATGTAGTCATCATTATTTAAACTTTATTGTAGAGATGTCTCTTCTTACCAAAATGTGAAGGTCTCCTCATTGGAAGGTGTTTATTGAGGAGAAGTGTCAATAACATATCCTGGTGATTGATATCTTCTTTCTCTGGAAACAGTTCATTATCTATGAATATACAAGGATAGTATACTGATAAAAATGTAATAACAAATAGGTTTTTTTAAAAGTTTGCCTTATCTTTTGTGACATTAAAGAACTCCAGGCCTCAAGACCTCCTTAGTGTCCTTAAAGAAGAACTCCAGGAAAAAAATTGAAGCCTTGCAGAGGAGCTGCACCTGCACTGCAAGGGTTGAGTATTCATTTTTCTCTAGGTGCAAAAATAAAAAAGTTATACTCACCCGAACTTTGGAGTCGCTTGGCTCCTACACCACTCCCTTGATCCCTCTCCCCATACCCTATGGTGGTATGTCTCTCAGCATTCTAACATCCTATACACTATGTATAGAACGTGATGCCTCTGGAAACTTAGACTGCTGCTGCGGAGTGGTCTAGACGCTGGAATGCGCATCTAAAAGTAAGCCAGCTCTGAGGTTCAGATGGAGTACAACTTTTTTATTTTTGCACCTAGACCAAAATGAGTGTGGGGGTATCTGCAAGAGTTAAGAAACATTTTCCTAGGAAGTGCAGTACAAATATCAATAGATAGGAAGAAAGATACCTGTAACGTAGATCAGAAATATTAGCTTTGAAATATTAAATGTGTTTGGAAATTAACAACCTCCAAGAACCAGTGTTCAAAAGGCCTCACGTTAATCAGTCGGCTGATCTAAATAATTTACCCATGCAGTCCTTCACACAGGGGGGTTTGGAGATCAGGCTCCTCTCAGCAGGAAGCACAGGAGATGTTGTATCCTAAACCAGGACAAAGTTAGACTCTTTGTCACTGGCCATTTGGTCTCAGGTAGCAGAATGCTAAGACTCCAGGGACAATTAACAGCCTTGTGCTCAGAGTAGCGAGAGCTTCTTTTTACTTCAGAGTTAGATACTCATGACTGGAGGGTCTCATTGGAAAGAGACTAGAAGAAGATGAGGACTGCTGGGACATCTAGCTGAATGTGTGTTCAGGGACTACTGGGACTTGTAGTGCCTTACTAGCTGTGAACTGTTGTCCTGCTCGAACAGTGAAGAGACTCCACAGACTAGCTCTACAGACAGCCTCCTGCCTTACCATCCCATGTGGATGCCTCTTCTGCGGACTGACCTGATGCCTTAAGTTTAAGTTGTGACCCTCTTTTGTCGTTCCTAGTTGCTGTTACCCCTTTGCTGTGCCGGGATTGCTGCCCTGTGTCCCTGGACTCCGCCTGGAATGCTGCCCTGTGTCCCTGGATTCCAACTGTGCTGTGCCCTGCTGCTGTTATCCCTTTGCTGTGCCCGGACTGCTGCCCTGTGTCCTTGGACTCCATCTGGATTGCTGCCCTGTGCCCCTGGACTTTACCCTTGCTATCCCTTGCTGTTTTAGCCTTTCGTTTTGCCAGGATTGCTCCTACACTTGCTGTATCCTAATGTTGATAACCCCTAATAAAGAACCCTCTGGTCAAGGGTCCTAAAAACCACTCTTGGTCTCTGTGTGTGTTCTGTGTCACCCCACATCCCCCGTCACAATACCATTTAAGTAGAAAGGTTTATATGTATTTTGATTGTTCAGTTTCTTCATTTGCAGTATATATCTAATCATTGTTTTGTCTAGACATGGCATTTCTGAAATTCATGCAACAAGACGCAGTAAGCAATGAGAAATGCACAAAAAAAGCATTAAAGTGACACTAACCTCAGGAGGTAAATCTTAATAATGTATTCAAGTACCATAACTATTAACAAAAATGTATCTTATTTGTGTATCATTCAGCTCTGAATTGGTGCTGACACTGTCCTTCCTTCTGGAGGGTGGCTACTTTTGTTCCCCATGGACCCTGTGTGTGTTGTAAAGTAGTCACCACTCCAAGCTCACTCTGATAATGGACTACAATCTCACATTTACTAATTTGAATTGAGATTGTAGTCAATCATGTGAGCAAGCTCAATGAAAAAATATTAATTACTGGAAGTATATAGCCAGGAAGCCAGGTGTGCACACCAGTTGAAGAGCTATCTGGTACAATATAAGGGCTTTGCGAAGGCCACAGACATCACCATGTGCATACTAGAGATGTAAATGTCATTTTTTTCTGAATGCAAATTTGGACAACATTTTGTGGATTCATACATTTGGATGCATCCGAATTTCCAAATTCCAATTAGGCTGGATGCAAACGAATTTGAATGTTCTTTTAATGAAATTTTGGATCATTCGAATTTTGTTCTAAATAAAAATAAAGCGGATATGTGTCTGTTTTCTGGCCAATCAGAGAACCCGGCCTGAAATTACAACGAAGTTTCGAAAGATCCAAATCCAAATAACGAAACAAAACCCAAAAGAAAGAACAATCTGAAATTAAACAAATGAATTGCCGGCCTACGTGTCTTGTGCATGTGCCATGTGATATCCGGGCTAAGTGAAGAAACAGTTATAGGCTAATTAAATTGCAAGCTCTTCTGGGAAAAGGACTGAATTCAATGATCAATCATATCTTGTAAATGTCTTTACTAAACGTTGCCATTGTACAAAGAACAATGCAATATAATTGATACTACTACTGCTATTACTATAACTAATCATAATAACAGCATTAAGCATGACAACAGCAGCAACTGTTCTTTTGACATTGGATACTTTCTTGTATGACAGAACTGATGCTAAATTGCTGTGTGCAGCGTGACATTTTCAAATCCCCATTAAGCAGGTATACTACTTGTGACTGTTTACAACAATAACTAAGGACTAATAACTCATGTCATTTAACAATGTTCTGCAATTACTTCTATTGCTACTGAACCTTGATGCATTCTAAAATTAGCATTTCCACTAAAGTGAGGTTACAGTTGCATATATGTGCTTTCCCTATTTGTCAGGCATGGTAGTGATCTCTAAAGAGTAAATGTTTCTAAACCCTCAGTCAAATTCCCTTAGAAAGGGGAAAGAGGCACAGTTTGCCTTATTTATCAACATTTCAAAATCTCTTTACTAGGTACTGTGTCCATAGTTATCAGTCCGTTTTTTAAGGGGTAACTAATAGGGATGGTTTGTGCCTGAATGGTGGTTATGGGCCATAAAACCAATCATACCAACATTTCTAATAATATAACTGTTATGAAGAAATTATGTGATTGATCAATAATTATCTACAAATATTATTACATTTGTAGTATTTATTTGTCTTTGTGGAATGCACTAGAGTGCATCTGGTTCCCTATTCTCTATGCTGAGCGAGTATTCAGTTTCAGTAATTATGGGATAGGTGCTGATATATTTTACGTTATTATTATTACCACAGGTAAAAATGTCATTGGGGTTCTTTCGCTCGTACAGACTGTATATCATGACTGGTACTGTATATGCTGCCTAAATGCCAAACAAGAAGTATGGAACTAAACCAGGTTGAAATTTGCTACAAAGACTAACTTGAAATGGGTCATGTTCTGAAAGGAAGTACTTTCTTGAAAAAAATAGACAAAGATTGAGAAAACAAATAGAAATCATGACCTAAACTGGCATGTATTGAACCTAGACTTAAGAGATATTACGTTTTAAAATCTATTTTAGGAATGCATTTCCAGCAGATGTGATGAATACATATTTTGTAAAGAAAATGTTATTGTTGTAAGTTCTCCTGCTGATAAATAGTAATCAGTCAAGGTATTTAGGTAATAATATATTTCAGTATAATAGTTTCCTAAGAGATACAATATCAGTAAAATAAGTAGTGATGATAGATCTATTTGCTCTTATTCTAAGTGCAGAAACCTATAGCAAAAATTAGAACTCACCTTGTGCTGGTGTGACATCAACAGAGTAAATTTAATTGATTTTCATGGTATACTCAACTTAAGCATGTGTATTTTACAATTCTTCACTGAAGGTGTACAGCTCTTTGAAACTAATATAAAAGTACAGTAATATCTTTCCTTTTATTATATTTTTAACATACATATATGCATGCATGTAAAATAACAATATGTTTCTACATGAATGAGGTATGGTATGATAGGAGGTGGCACAACATTAAACAGTGTTGTATATTTGCTTACCTTGCAATATATAAGGCTTCCCTTGAGCTGAATGAACAGAAATCATTAACAAGAAAGTTAATGTCCCAAGGCAGAGGTGAACGGAGGTGGCTTTATCCATCATACTGCTCCTTAGGTTGATGGAACCTTGCAGAGGACTTGGGATTTGAATGTGTCTCTCTCAGATGAGCTGACTTTTAAATGGTCCCCAGACATGTCATTGTGTCATATCCCAAAAACCTCCAATGAAAATCAGTCATCCTGTCAATGGTATTCAATTCTTGGAAAACTGACAAATGAACTGCGTGAATTTCTTGACGTCAAACCTAGATAAATCCATCTAGAACAGGACCAATAAAATGAGTGCTGGAATACACAATCAAAATACAAAGAAGGTCTGGTGGCAAGCTCATGGTAATTTATTGTTGCATTTCCATGCTCTCATTTTAATTACACTAAGATGTTTATAGCGAATGCCATGATGAAGCCTTACAAATCACTAATTGAATTGATTTTAGGACTCAGATCTTTACTGTGACATTTGTGGCTTATGACATGATGCTATGGGGTAAGTACAGAGAGAAAGATGATAAAACGAGGATTGGAAGAAGACTGAAGACAAATATAAAATTCATCAATGAGACACAGCAGGTCTTCAAAGATGTCAGGAGAAGTTGCAATACATTGTGTATCTTATAAGAACACAGGGCAGAAATTGACCAGCGCTTTGATTAATTTTAGATGAATGGATGTCCTCCACTGCTGATGACTACAGGTGTGACTCTTCTTCCCTTTGATTTTCTACAACTATCTGTCACTGTCACATTTCTCATTTTCTTTTCCAAGTTTTGCAATTGGAGGAAAATAACAATGCCTGGTCTGAATATAAAATACTGGAAGAACTGTGTGCACCTTACACTTATATATGTTAAAATTGTCAGTTGTTTTATAGGCAATTAGCAGGATATGATCTATATTAAAGTTAATATTTCTGAATTTGAGATAATATAAGTGTTTATGTTTTTAGTCATCCAGCTTAACAGAAGCCAGGTGGGTGAGCTCAATACAGCTGCATGCATATTGGCTGTGTTTGTGGTATGTGAAGGATGTGCCGCTGGACACAGGGTCATAAGGCAATGTTTTGCATGTGTTCACTGAGTGTCATAAATTAAGGAATAAAGTCCTTATTTTTCTGGATGTGTTATGCTCATACAGAAGTGATGCCATGAAAGTGTAAAAACAGGACAGCCACTCTACTATATTCAATGTTTTATGCTTCTACTGCTCGCTCACCTAGCCAATCAACCTGTCATGAAAATGTGTTAAAAGACTTTCCCGTTCATAAGAACTGAAAATTCTTCTGGTACATTTCTGCATACACAAAGCTGGTGGTAAACAAAATTGATCTGCTCATGATTTGGCGAGTGTCATCAATGCCACTATCAATGTCTTCAGAAGCCTCCCTTCCATTGAACTTCAAATGTATAGCTTCATAAATAGCAATAAGGAAACATATGTCTCTTTCTCATTTTACAAGTATTCATATTGGAGCATTCATCGTGATTTGATCATTTCGAGTTCGGTCTGTCTAAACCTAAATGATTAGGAACTTATTTTTTAAGCTAGATCTATACCCTTTCCATTAATTAATACCAAGCAGGTAGGGTAAATGATCAAACTAACCACTTTACTTGCAGAAAAACAAATGCATTTATCATTAGGCACAGTAGGCTTGTGCCTATAGGAGGCCATGATAAAGTTTTTCCAAGAGCAGTAAAAATACAGTTATCTAATTTTTACTAATTTACATTTATTTACTCATATACTGTACATTTATTTACACATTTACAATATTCTAAGCTGGCTAATGAGCAATAAAACATGGAAAGGTTCGGCATGAAAGAGGTGATCCTAGGAGAGCGGAGTTACTTTGGGTTCCAGAGGCTCCAGTGATTGATATATATCCCTTTTAAATCTTGGACTGTCAGGTTTGGAGATGAGACATAGTGTGACAAAACCCTGAACTTGTGCTTATATTATTGACTAACCTTCTGATTATAATTAGGTATGCAAGGACACACCGTGGACTGTTTATTAATAACTGTCAAGGTAAAACTATAATGCATTCCCACCTTGTAGGTATTGCTAATAGGCAACTGTAATAGTGGGATTGTATTTTCTGGCAGCTTCACTTGAATTAAGCTACACTACTACTATGCAAGTACTGATAAGGCTCAGGATAACCTGGGGCATGTCACTTGGGGGTCATTTTACAATTCTTCCACCCAGCCATAGCATGGGTGAATGTCATTCACTTGGCATTTCCACCGCTATATGAAGCAGAGGAGCATAGGAATATGGCTGAGCAGAAGATTTATAAATAGAAACTAATTATGGCAAAGACACACTAATTCAAAATGTCTTTTGTCAGCAATAATGTACAATATGTATGCTCTTCTTAAATGGCAGATACACAGATGGATAGACCAATGCATAGACAAATAGATTTTATATTCATTGACATGTAATATGTATTTCACAGCAGCCTAACCTGTACCTAAAGTGAATTTCCACTCTTGCAGTGCAAATTGAGAAAACTCGACATATGTGTTTATGTTTTCCTATCCACACAGCATACCCATGTATATATATATATCTATATCTATAGATATATCTATAGATATATATATATATTTATTACCGTTTAGATCCTGTATAACTGTGTAGCAGGTCTTTGCAAGGTTTTTTTTTCAACAGCAAACTCTGTCTGTCCCAGCAGAAAGACTAGGTGTTGCTAGTACTTTTCACTTCAGAAGCTTCAGAGCTGCCTTAATTCCTTGTGGCATAGATTCAACGAGGTCCTGGAAACACTCCTTAGAGAGTTTGGTACATATTGACATGATAGCATGACGCAGTTGCTGCAGATTTGTCGGCTACACATCAATGATGCGAATCTCCCATTCCGCCACATCCCAAAGGCGCACTATTGGATTGAGATCTGGTGACTGTGGAGGCCAATTGAGCACAGTGAACTCATTATCATGTTCAAGAAACCAGTTTGAGATGAATGACATGGCGCATTATCCTGCTGGAAGTAGCCATCACAAGTTGGGTACACTGTGGTCATATAGGGATGGGCATGGTTAGCAACAATACTCAGGTAGACAGTGGCATTTAAAGTAGTATTAAACACAGACCGTTTTTTAACCTAATGCATTCCTAGCCAGCAGGTAAACATTCGACCAGGAAATTATTGGCTTTAAATCTGTGCACACACACTTACAGGCTTTACGTTTTGCCGCCGCTGGCTCCAGGTTGCAGAGCGTCAATTCCCTGAAGTTACGAGTAGGGAGGCACATGCACTTTACTATGCAGTGCACCAAGGACAGCACAGGGAGGGGAAGGAGCAGGGAAGTGACTTGCCGCTGGGGCTGTTTCTGTGGACATAAAGAGACTTAACCATTGTGGCATCCGGGAGTGTGCATGCAAAGGTGGCTCCATGATACTTTGTAAGGGAACGGAGCCACATGAAAATAGCAACCAGGGAAGAGACAATATTCAGATAAGGAAATGAAAGTGCCCACATAAGTAAAAGAAAAGCAGACATGCATACATTGTATATGCTGAGGTCTGCAGGACTATATGCTTTTCTTTAATTAGGGTTTAAAAATACTTTAAACAATGCTGCATCGGTACCAAGGAGCCCAAAGTGTGCCAAAGAAATATCCCCCACATCATTACACTACCACTATGAGCCTAAACTGTTGATACAAGGCGGGTTGGAACCATACTTTCATGCTCTTTATGGCAAATTCTGACCTGATCATTCGAATGTTGCAGCAGAAATCAAGACTCATCAGACCAGAAAACGTTTTTCCAGTCTTCTATTGTCCAAATTTGGTGAGCGCTTGTGAATTATAGCCTCAGTTTTCTGTTCTTAGCTGACAGGAGTGGCACCCGGTGTGGTCTTCTGCTGTAGCTCACCTGCTTCATGGTTGGATGTGTTGTGCTTTCAGAGATGCTCTTATGCATACCTCGGATGTAACGAGTGGTTATTTGAGTTACTGTTGCCTTTCTATCAGCTTGCACAAGTCTGGCCATTCTAGTATGGCCTCTAATATCAACAAGGCAATTTCACCTAGAGTACTGTCTCTCACTGGGTATTTTCTCTTTTTCAGACTATTCTCTGTAAACCCTAGAAATGGCTGTGCGTGAAAATTCCAGTAGAGCAGAAGTTTCTGAAATACTCAGACCAGCCTGTATGGCACCAACAACCATCCCATGTTCAAAGTCACTTAAATCATCTTTTTTTCTCATTCTGATGCTCGATTTGAACCATGTCTCCTTGCCATCATGCAGTGAGCTGCTGCCATGTGACTGACTGATTAGATAGTTGTGTTAACAAGCAGTTGAACAGGTGTACCTAATAAAGTGGTCACTGAGTGTATGCTTCAATGCAATGAATGTCATATTCAATATGTTGGATTTAGCACACAACACCTCAGAATCGGGACTGTTGAGCACTACTGCAGTAGTATTAATCCACAATCACTCCAGGTTTATAAAGTGTCTCATCATTTTGCAAACATGCTTTTTTTCATTTTATGGAGTGAAGATGGTGCTACATAATCCTAGCGGAGCAGATGTGCATAGGAATCTGTTGCAACATGAGGCCCTGTGGATCTTTAATTTGAAACCTCAGATTCCACAGGATCTCAATCATACCACATGGGATTTGTAGATCAAGCTGGAGGGCCGGAGTTTGCTTACCTCTGTTCTACATCTTTAACCCTTTGTTAGGACAGACAGTTTTCAAATCTAGTTTACAACTGATAATGAAATCGGCCAGCACAGAACAAACAGGGTTAATTTTGTTAATATTAATCTCCCAACCCTCCCTTGCATTCCAAAGGGAAATTCAATACAGAGAACTAGGGCTGCAGCTAACGATTATTTTCAAAATCGATTAGTCAGCCGATTATCAAGTTCGATTAATCGGTTAATCGGATTTTAAAAATGGCTCCAGTGATGGACTACTAGTTTGTACTGAGATTGTAGTCCATCACAGGAGCAAGCCTGGAGCGGTGGAAATAAAAAAAAGTGTGGTGTGCAATATAGTACAATATGCAGAATACCAGCAGCTATA